CCACTAGATATAAACCCATGCAGGATTATGAAATCAGGACACATCATGTTTAAATTCAAAATCCATCATGGTTAATGCAATGTTTGCACTGTAAAAATTGTTCAAATATACACTTAAGGAGATCTACTGCAACTTTTTTGATGACAAAAGTTTAAGTACTCTCCAAAAATATGGCTGTAGTTGTTGGTGACATATTGAATTGTCCGGATGAGATTAATTTCACTAAGCCAGTGTACAATTGATAGTAAGTGAGTCCTAATAAGATCATAATAAAATAAAAGCAAGGTACAGCATTACGGCAGACGTGGCATTCAGGGTGGACTTTTTGCTGTGGATGACCGCCAATACCAGGAATCAATGAAAGATTCATTTTGCTCTCTTTTTTTTTTTTTTTTTGGGGGGGGGGGGTCTCTAGGTGACCTTTGTGAAAATGTTCCACCATTTTGGCAGGATCCGTATAAGTGCAGACCATTTCATGTAGACAGTAAGTGTATGAAATGAGTGCTCCTGTCGTTCCAGCCTGGCTCTCTTTGACAGCATGATGATAGAAGCGTCACATCCTTGGAAGAGTAAATGCAAACTGACAAGAGATGAGCCTTTGGTTGCTGAATATAATACGGAATTGTGCTCTGAGTGTCTTATTATCTTGTCTGTTGATGTCTGAAAGGGGGAGATTTGCTTGAGAAGAGAAGACAGAAACTGTACGCTTCCAACACCATCTCGTCCGCTGAAAAAAAAAATTGCTTGCCTTACTAACCACAGCTTTCCCACCTAATGTCCACCTCTACTTGGAATAAATACAAGGCGGCAGGATGTTTGTGGTGCCTTGTAGCCCCTGTTAGCTGAAGTGGAAGACTATTTGCACAGGCAAGCTTTTAGGAGGAGAACGACCCTTTCACCACTGCAGTAGGCATGTGGTGGGTGTAGAAGGTGGACAATTTACTGTAGACAAACATGACCGCTACTGTCATCGCCTCTCACCGACTTCTCCTTCTCACACTCGCACAAACTCGTACAAAGTATTAAAGCACTAAAACTAAAATCATACAACAATTCTGTAGGGATGGGAAGTTGTTGTAGGCTCTTTAAATATGAAAACACATACATGGCGCATGTAATCGCTGCTAAAAGTTACGGTGATATTGACAGTAAAAGAGTGAGAGAGAAAATTTGCTGCAATGATGATTCAAAACTGTTCAATATCATCAACCTAATATGTGTGTGGCAAATACATCACACCTGTTGTCCAAAAGATCCCCAGTGACAAGAGATATTCTATAGCTCTCTACTGTCTATTCAGGAAGTCTATAACCTTTAGCTCTAGGTTGAGCTCAGCAGAAAACTATCCTCATCAAGAATCAAAAAACTTTCAAGTAGCTGTGTTATGAATGCACTGTGTATGCACGTCTGTGTGTAATATTCAAACTATTCAAACTGCATTTAAGAGTAGTTTTTTCTCAGAGAGCCAATAAGTCTGAACCTGATTTGCATTTCCTTGAAACTATAAGTGTGTGCTGTTTTTGTGTACGTGATAAGTATATCTGTCAATCATGAAACTGGAGCATTCTATCAAAGAGATTCTGCAAAATAAGCGACATAAAATAGTAAAAAGTTATATTTTTACTCTGCTGAAAGTGAGGAATCCAAAGTACACCTTCATCTCTTGCTCTTCACCTCATTGAACGTAAAGGGGACAAAATCTTAATATTGTGGCTTCTGCACTGTGGAGAACCACATAAAGAAAACCACTGAATAATGTAAGGCCTAGTTTAAAGGCTCGGTTCAGGGTTGTTCTCATATCAATGGCATTCATGTTGATAAAAGAATGGTGAGAGTTGCAAACTTAATACAATTTTCCTGCAACCATAAGAGTACACTTCAAGCACAAATACAGGCAAATGTTCTAAATGAATAAAGGAATAAATAAATATAATGTGAAACACGACAGGTGTGACAACCCGAAGATTATAATTACTGTCTAAAATGTTTGCTTTTGTAAACTGTTTAGCTATTTAAAGGGTCAAATACAAATTCATTTCTTCTCATTTTGTGGCAATGCATATGTTCCAAGTGTCAGCTTTTCATTTATTAAACTAAATAGTTTTTTACTTTTAAGGCCACGTGTTACGCTCAATTGGTTTTGGAGAGGCTTCATACACCTGATTCAAAGAGACTGATACAGTCCATAAACCGCAGTTAAAGCGTAAAAGTCTCCAAAATGTTTACTCAAACTCCAACTAAATAGCAAACACAATAAAACTGTCACTACAGTGCTAATTATAGACTAACTAAAAAACATCACTATCACCATACCTTTCCTTTTATTCTGCCAGAATTTCAGGAAATGTACCGAAAGATGCTGAGTCTCTCTTCTTAGACCACCTTCTCTCGCTAACCCTTCCTTCCTATCTCTCCCAGCAGAAGACACGACTGTGCCACGTCTCCTCACCGTCCCCTGCCTTTCTCTCTCACAGGTCATGTGGGCAACCCAAACCAAACGTGCCACTGTGGGCTGTGCCACCGGCCAGAGAGCAACCATCCCCCCCAAAAATTCACAAGTTACTCTGGAGCAGCTCTGACTAGTCGCATGTAGTATGACAACAGGCCATCAACAAACACTAAGCGCAAAATGGACATTAAAAAAATCTTCAGTTTATGGTTCCAGAAATTAACAACATATTTAAAAAGCTATATGTTGCTTGCATATTTATCATTGACAAAGGCGCCATAGTTATGCAAGACTAAAATAGCTTAAATTATAAATAAATAGTAAAGCATTTACCAACAAATAAGTGAACATGCACGAGAGGAAAAGAGAAGCAAAAAGTAGCAAGTGAGAAGCAGGAGAGTAGCCAGACAGAGAATGATCAGACAGAAAAAAAGAGGGAAAGACTTGATGCTTATTAAACCAAATTGCAACGCTTTTGAGACAAATCCTGCAGTACCAGTCCTTGTTTAGACGCCTCTAGCCTCAGGTTATTGTTGAAATAAGGATTTAAAAGACAGCTGAACTCTCGCTGATCAGGTTTGAGAGTAATATTTGGCTATCCCTCCTACAAATTCTGATTTTATTTTGTTCACAAATGTTTGGCAAGCTTAGTCCATTGGCACTTTACTGTACTCCCTGCCACTTCTCAGGAGACACGCACGCGCCGCTCACCACGCGCAACCACACGCACACCACACACACACACACACACACACACACACACACACACACACACTGAGAGGGTCACATAGAGATTCATAGACAGTGATATTCTATTAACATCATTGTAAAAAAACAACAAATATGCACTGGCTGTAGCAGCATAAATTCATAACCAGCAGTACAATTACATGCCAAAATCTCTCACACACAAACACACTATCTCAAGCCAATACACAAATATACACACAGTTAAACTTTCAGAAATGGAAAGAGACGTCCGCAAATGAGGAGACACAGTACTTTGCATAGATACTCAAAACCAACATCTGAAGCCATTAGAGAAGGTTTTTGTCACTTGTCACCTTGCATCCACATTAAAAATGAATAATATAATAGTAATAATAATAAAACTTGACAAAAAGGTAAAATTATAAAAAAAAATATGTTAAGTGAATCAGCTCTTTATAAGAAGTCCTTCAAATATGTTTGGCACAATATTTGGACTGGTCTGCTCTAAGAAACCTTCTACGGAAATTAAGCAAATAAAAACAAAGTCTGGGAGATGATTTGCTAAGTGGGGACGGATAAATACTAAGGCTGTGAGTACATCATTTCCTTGAAATTAAATAAATTAGAGTTTAAATCTTTCAGCTATCTAAAAAAACAAATCCCTTAAATCTGCAGTTACTGAACATTATAATTTGATATAAATACAAATATTCAGTTTGTAATTATTTCTATTATTAATGATTGTGAAATCTCTAATGAAAGCAAGGGGTTACAGGGGCTTTAGGGCTACATTACCTTTCTCATTACAGTAAATAAGTTGAAAAATTGCTAAATGGTAATTTATATCATTATGCTTATTGATTCATAACGAGGTGCTGTGATTGAATTAGTCCACGACTGAAACAACTCATAATAAAAAAAAGAAACACACTTATTTAGACACAACAAAAATAGAGTGTGAACACTCAGTTAATGAGGTAACTGCAAATATAATGAGGCATGCTGATTTAGAAATTGGATCATTTTGAAGATCATTTGCAACTGAAGAAACCAAAAGATTAAAAACAACTGAATAAACTGAAAATAAATAACTATAAAAAGAGAAACCTCCGCTATAAACTGCAAACAATAATATTAAATATGATATGCTCATGATAAATACAATATTTGCTTAAACGTTGAGGTTTAATTTCACTTAGCATTAAGTTATAATTTATCCGATAGTTTGCTATTATCTCCATTAATGTTTAAATAACAAAATTAACATTTTCTCCAATTATATTAAGAAAAAAGTGCAGAATATTACCAAACACCACCCGGGCTGTGAAGGTGGGTTTCAGGTAAAATATCCTGACAGGTAAAATTAGATTTTTGCAGGTCAGTTAAACTTTTAAAAGAGTTCAAATAAAGGAGTCATGAATGATAAGAAAGCATCAACATGATCAGCTAATACTTATTTAGTGGTAGTATTTAAGACACTGTGTTAAATATGTACTTCATCTCCTTATGGAACATTCTGGTAATTCAGTTACCTCTTGTAAACTCAGCTGACACAGACTGCCCCCTACAAATACGACCTGCTTTTCTAAGAAAATCTCAGCAATGAAGGTGCATGAAACACACAAAAATTACATATAATAAAATTTCTACTATCATGCCTAAACACTAAAAGAGCCAAACACTGACTTGCTCATTGCACTTAAACTTAGTTTGTTGTCTGACACTGCTGACACCTGTCCCACCACTGGAAGCCTTCAGGATTCACATAACCGCTGCCTAAACCAGACATCATCCAGCAGCTTTCTGAAGGAGAAGGAACAGACAGTGTAAGCCGACTTACCGTACAGCTTGTTGGGAGTGCCCTCTCTGTCTGTGGCCTCGGAGGGCAGGAGCAGGGGCTCGTCGTTCAGCTCGCTGTCTGGGGTGGCCGCTTTGTCATCCGCCCGGAGTTCTGCCGCGCTCATGTTGCTGCGCAGGGAGAGCAGCGGCTTGCTCAGCTGCCCTGTAATCATCGGATCCTGGGGAGCTGGGAGCCCAGGTGGGAAACAGGGAGGAGGAAAAAAAAGAGAAAACACCCCTTGGTTAGATCTGCTTCGGCGTCTCACCCTAACCGGCTCCTTCTCTATGTCTCTACTCACTCTCTCTCTCTCTCTACCCAGCTTCTCCTTTCTATCGCTCACTCATCACTCTCCCTCTCTCTACTGCTCCCTCCCTCTCCAGCTCTCTCTTTTATCTGAGGCTGGTGCTACCCCGCTGATACTGCCGGCTGCTGCCTGGTGAAGAACTGTTACGGATCGCGTGGCTTTACCATTATACCCTGTAGTCCTAAAACGGTGATACATCCATCTCCAAGGGCTCATTACTACATGACATGTGCCTCATCTTCAGCAAACACTAAGCTGACAGCAGTCTACAAAGAGGTCCTGGGTTGTGGGTCAATAAATAAATGAAATAAATCTAATTCTACATTTAATAAGGAAGATTTGAGCAAAAATACACACCAGTGATTATATCAATTTTCACATAGTTGGGGACACAAAATAAGATCAAAGATGACATATTGCAGCAGAGAGTGAGGCAACATGAACTTAAGGCCTGATTTAAACAAGAGATGAAGTCACTGATGTTCCCAAATTTTTCTCCCAATTATTTTCATTTTTTTGTCTGCACTTAGAAACACGAATTTAAACAGCATCTACATGACATGATCACGATTATCTGTCTGAACATCTTGGAATAGGATAAATTCAGCAAAGTAAAATTGAGAAGTTCACGGTTTGATAATACAAAAAAATGATGTTTAATAGAGAATTTTATAAATGGTTTAGATGCTTCCATCAGGACATTTTATCTCTATGGAGATCCAACAACTTTTCCAAATACTAAACGGAAAGTTTCTTAAAAACTGTTGAAAGAACTGCTCTTACCTAAACAAAGCTCCAGAAGAAAAGAGTAAAAAAAAAAAAGAAAAAAGAGTTTTGAGAAAGTCCAAATGCTGAAGACAGTCAAAGAGCAGCTACAACATGCCACCACAGCGCAGAGACCAGCTAGTACATGCTTTCTACTGAACCAGAAGCAGCCTCCTCAACCTTCGTGTATCTGAATGGCCACCACAGGTTCACGCCTGAGGTTGCTTCCTAAGACAAGCACTGGAGATGTCACCTCCTCCCTCCCTCTCTCACTCTTCCTCACACACACATTCTCTCTCCCTCCCTTCCTTCTTCACTCCCTCTGTCTCTTCCCCCTTGTGTCTTCTGACTGGAGAGCTTCTCAGACAGTGTTCACCCCACCTCAGGCTCTGAGACACAGACACGCAGCAGCAGGACTACGGCCCTCTACCTTATTTATGAATCAAGTCCAACCTAAATATGTCTCAGCAAAGGACAGGTGACCGGCACATATAGACACAGAGAGGAAAAAGGAGGGTGAGTCTTATCTTGCCCCTGCACCCATCAATAGCCCCCCCTTCTATCTGGGTGGTCGATAAGTTCCTGCCCAGAGGGGCCTTTTTAATGTGCTCATCATGGGAATCAGCCCACTTTGATATGACACATGATAATCTATGAAAATGTTAATCAATAGAAATAGTTTAAGCTGTCGTTAAAATCGTGAGCCGGCTGGTCAATACTCATATCCCTGGTAACAATGTCACTAGTCATCAGGGCTTCATTTGTGGAGCACTTAAATGTGGGACACTGCGCATCAATGCACCTCTCTGCCCGCCGAGGTAAACACATTTTCCCCTCTGTCTGAGCCTGGCCACACTCTGCATGCATTTGGGTCCACCCCCACCTCCTACCTCCTCTCCTTTGAGTTGCTTGATAGGTCCACTGGAGGGCAAAATTAATACCTAATTGAATCTTGCAGTCATCAAAATAATCAATAGTTTTTTATTATTTATTCTTCACAGTCTGTTGACTGTTTGAAAGCTCAGAGGGACAGCAGAAAGCACAGGCAGCCCTGAAATTTCTACCGTTTCACAATGTAATTTTCACTGGGGCATGAGAGTTTGCAAGACCTATAAAAAATGAGAGCAGTGGTTTTTGTTAGGAGGTGGGGGAAAAAAATAAAGGAAAAATGGGAATCTTTGCCCCAGCAGCTATGATGAAAAATAGAATAAACAAGCTACTGACACTTCAGAGAAGGGCAGGGTCCTTTCTGTCCATCCCTCCATCTTTTTCCCTTTCCCCTTTTCTCCTTATTTCATCATATCAGGAGTGTGGCGGTACCTCTCTAATGCTGGCATTTCTCTTCCTGACAGACTCCAAACAAGTGCTGGGAATGAGATCAGAGCTCTAATCTTCCTCTGGCCTCTGAGGCTCGAGGATAAGGGGGCAACACATCTCTCACCATCTTACGCAGCTGTTAATTACTTCATTTCAAAACAGCTAGCTTTGCCTATTTGCAACCATGCCACCAAACTGGGTGTGTTTATTAATTTAAACTCATGGAGTAATGTAATTACACTTAATGGGATAACTGTAATCTTATTGTAAAAATCCGTAATAAAACGGGATATTTCAAAAATTAACATAAGAAATTAGATTACTGTTTCTAAGCAGTGGCTGTGAAACGGATTAGCTTCATTTTTTAAAGTAGACCTCAGACCCCTGATTAAAGCAATAATGTGAGTTTGTGAATATGTGTGTGTGTGTGTGTGTGTGTGTGTGTGTGTGTGTGTGTGTGTGTGTGTGTGTGTGTGTGTGTATGTGTGTATGTGTGTGTGTAAGAGGGTTGGCAGGAGCGGACATGAGGGAGAAGGTTTGTCTCGTTTCTTCTAAGTTCGCTCAGTCTGGCCACAGCTCTCAAGAACAGGTTGCAGAAACAAGAAAAAGCACTTGATCCCCCCCCCGGCCTCCCGTTCACCAAAAAACCCCAGTGGCCAGAGAATCTGTGGTTAGCAAAGAGTCCCGAGTGTCATCAGATATCCATGCTAATAGCTGGTGGTCTTACCCGTGCCGTCCCAGTGTGAGGGTGAGGGATTTCAGCATGTGACCGACACACTCCACCCCAACACTTTAAGACTCCTATGGTTAATGAACAGAGAAAAACATAATCAGTATTCATCATAATTGCGATAACACTGTTTCATCTCATTTGCAATGATCCATGGTATTTATAGCAGAATTTAACATGGATTGCCCAAAAGGTTGGTACAACAAGAGAATTCAGTATAGCTGTGACAAATTCTCATGGGATTGCAGTTAGTAGTAGTGATGTGTGTGATAAGTTGATTAAACTATTTGATGTTGCTAACCTTGCTAGTTGCCACCAGAAATACCCGTTAAACTAATTATTAATATTTTATTCATGTACAACGATGGTTAACTGTTGTGTCTGAGATGTTATGCAGCCACCCGCCACTAGACGGAGCTGCAGCCCCCGTCTCCGGAATTTGTAAACCAATAAGGTGGGGGACAAGATAACATCTCGTAAACCCAGCGTAGTTTGGCAGTATTTTGATCTAGAAAATAAATGGTTGTATGGTTGCATGTACGCTGTGTCAGAATAAACTGGCATATAATCACTCGACCGGAGAAATGCGTAACCACATTCAGCGCAGGGAAGAAGGCTGCTGCCGCTAGCACAGTTAACATTAGCCATACTCAGCAAAACAATATGATATTGTTTACCCGCAGATACTGTGATGCTGTGAAAGATAACGCAGTTCATCACAGGAAGATATGCTCTGCTCAACTTTGTTTTCTTACTTTTACACTTGTCAACTAATCTAAATTTAAATTCCCATTTAACTGACAGGGAAATTAGGAACATCCCTAGTTAGTATACAAAAGAATTACTCTGTACTTCCCTGTTTTGTACTAACAGGAAATTATATTTTACATGCACCAACCTGTGTAAGTTAAACTGTGACTTTGAAATGCCAAAAAAACCTCAAAGATAAAGCAACATGTTTTTCTCCAAAGATATAATGTATTCTTTTGTTTTCCTTTTCGCATTGCTCTGCAGGAGAACATTGCTCAACAGTCCATTTAAAAATAAAGCTGTTTTGAAGTCTTTTTAACTACCCTTAAATTCCTCACTTCCACAGGAAACACACTATATATTTAAAACCTGCTTAGAATAAGAATGTAGATTGGAATTTGGATATAGTTTCTCTATAATGTACTGGTAATTTGTCCTGGGCGTTTTGCTGCCTTGTACAAACTGCATGCAGGGACAGGCCTCATCACAGATGTAACCCTAAAACATTATATCATTGGCAAAACATGTTTCCTCGTGGTTACATGATTTTATGAGAAAACAAATGTATTCCAAGTACGACACAGATCATCTCTTGTCTGCACTCACGCTATGACTGCTTTATTTTAAATCCATTATCAAGTGACCTAGAGCCTAAAACACAAATAAATTCATACTGTCATTAGCTCCTAGGTTTTTCTGCTGGTACATAATGAGTTAATGAGTAATGCAAGGACATTTGTACTGACAAATAGTAAAGGCTGGTATCTGCCATTAGAAAATTGTTTCCATTGCTACCATAAACAAAAATAAAACTAGTCTCCATTAATTTCACTCTTCTGTTCAGTTTTCCAGCTACAAAGAAGGCTACCTGAGCTTTGTATGTAAGGAATGTTTTGCAAAGATAATGGCTGTGAGCATAAGTAGCTTAGAATTTGACAAACATCCTGGTATTTCATTAAAAAAAAAAAAAAAAAAAAAATCAAGATTTGACCAAAAAAAAGACTCACTAAAAAAAAAACTAAACTAAAACTAAAAAACTGAATACTGAACTATAAATTTTAGTGTTAATGTTAAAGGCCAACAATAACCAATAATGTTGAAGCACTCATTTTGCATAATTGTATCTGAATTACTCTATTGTATTGGGTAAATATCCCAAGACCTTTATGTCTAATGTGGTATGGTAGATGATGATTTGTCTCCCCCTTAGGGTTATTAACTAAACTGTTCCTCTCTCACATAGTAAATGGATCCTCGTGTTCTTCAGTGACAATTTCAAGAAAACACCATTAGGCATTCAAATGTC